TTGCTGGAATGCTTTGTAGACCGTTTCAGAAAATTGTTCAGTCTCGCCTTTTGTCTTTGTTCTTGGCGCATTTTTCAAATTTGAGCGGAAGAGCCCGTTAACAGTGTTGTTAACGCTATGCCTTTCCCCAGTGTTGCAGATTTTTAATTTCGATGTTCGACAATTAGATTGGAATTCTTATCTTTTTGATTATCTTATGGGCGTCAAACGCTACGTAATTAAAGACTGCCTTGAGGATCTTCCTAAAGCGCGAGGAAATCTTTACTGGTAAGAGTTATTATGACACAGAGTGCTTAGATTTTTTTTTTTTTGAACGACCTTCACTTGACGTATGGATCAGTTAGCTTCGATTGTTTTGTAGTTTAATTTTGGATAAAGGAAAGGATTTTTTTAAAGCTGTCACTTTGATGTTGCATTTAAATTCTGAGAAATACATTTCGCCTGTTTCTAGAAAGAACATATATGCAGTTCCTCGGGAATCTTCAGTTTTTCCGGGATTTCTTTCAGGTTGAAGTTGTATTCGGCAGTTATCAGTGCGCTGTTGTGGTGGATTTCTATACGCATGTTTGCAAGGTTAAAAATTGATAAAACTTTTTGTGTAGTGCAAACTTAGTGAACTTAAAGTAGGGATGTATTGAGATTGTTGCTGAAAGAAATGGTTAGAAGTCAAAGAAAAGGTCGCAGACAATGAAAAGGATTAATTCCGTGTGTTTATTTGTTCTTCTTCCGTATGTGTTTTTGTAAGGGACAACCGTCACCCTCTTTCGCCCAAAAACATCCTACAGAGAAAAGAAACTGTAAAAATTTGGTGAAAGTTTGCAAAAATCAGTGACTGAAGCACTGATATTAGACGGAGGGATGAAAAATGTAGTTGAAGGGGTGCAACATCCAATTAGGTGGGTGAGAAAGCAAGCTGAAAAATGCCCTATTACCTAAAAAAAAACGGGAAATCACATTCAGAATCGGACTTTTTTGAAGGCTGGTTATGTGTATATTACTGTGTGGTAGTATGTATTCGTCGCAGGTTCTTTTTGTTAATAGCACGCTAACACTTTGCAGGAATCGCTCAAAAAGATATCAGTGGTT